GATAACCCGTATAGATATGGCGCGAATTTATCAAACCGCCCCGATTTCTTCCAAGGGTTGCATCAAGATTTATTCGTCTCACCTCGCCCAGTCATATTGCTTTTCTAGATCGGCGAGATTTTCCCCGGTGGAAAAATTCACGAATGGGTGTAGTGCGAAATTCATTATTCTTTATTTCAAAGCTCTCCCCCCCCCCCCNCTCTCTCTCTCGAGTCTCCTTTCCTTTTTTTCGAAACATTTGACACAAGATTTCTTCTAGAATTGGAACGCGATCCTTCAGGACTCATTGCCACAAGACCGTCTCGCATCTCCTTAGCGTGACCAACGAACGAAAACTCACTTTCCATTAACAAGAAATCGCACCTTATCGAACGGCTATCGAAGCTTTGACACTTTGGAGTCAACATATTACTTTGGTGGGCACCACATCCCCCCCCCAATATTTGTGTGTATATATATACGTATGTGTGTGTTCCTCACGCTGGCCACTCACCGGTCCAGGTTAGGCTCGTAATTTTCCCGTGAGTTTCTAGTTGGGATAGGTAAGCGGTGCGAATCACTGCCCGATAAATACGTCGCCCATACTTACGGTCGCCGTAATAAAGTGGGTGCTATCGCCTTGGTATGCTTCGTTGACCGGTAACACCGACCAGGAGGCTGATCGTCCGGCATGCTGGTCGTGTTCGGTGTACACACTCGTACACACACACACACACACATGCGCACATACATTGGTACACGAAGATGGGCGAGCGCGCGCACGCGGGATCTTCATTCAATATTTAACCGGCGCGATGCTCTCGAGCGAGACGAGGAGGAAAGCCCGGGTTTCTCCATACGTTGCGTCTCGCCCGTGATTTACGTCCAACGTCTCCGCGCCTCCGCTCTCTACCCTTTCCTATGGTATAATCCGCTTCGCTTCCGAAGCCGATACCGCCGGTATAAATTATCCCACGAACTAATTAACATTGTTGCCGATATCGCGCCAACGACGACTCGCGCGCGTAATGCGAGAGGATACGGAAGATTAATTGCGCGCGCGCCTTTTCGCTGCGATTCGGCGCATCCTGTCAAAGACTCCTTCTTCTCAACGCGGCGGAGAGGCGAGTTCCGGGCCTCTCGAGGATGCGCCTTTGCGCGCGCGCCTAGTCGAGATAGGCATTGATTTATTGTGCGCGCGTGTAATAGAGATTATTTATTATTTTGCGCGCGAATCGTAGCAGGGCGCTCGTCTTCCATCGCAATCCGTAATTGATGACTATATAGCGACGGAATGCGCCTTCTTGTTTCGCATGCTCCGGTCGTTGCGCGAATCTTTTTGCGGCGTCGTCATCACGCTGGATTAATAGTCGGGTGTATTATGTGTTTCTGGTTTATTTTGCGAGTCCTGTTTGGAAATTGTCTCCGAAATCACACGCAGAACTTTGCCGTGCACGGGGAAAAATAATTTGCTGGCACAGCAAAATCTGTGTCAGTTATTATGCGAACAGCAAAACGATTTGTTAAGAGTAATCGCCATTCGCTGGATTATTTTGCCAAGTCTACACATTATTTTGCTGTGAGGACGAATTAACAAACGTAAGAAAACACTACTCTGCCCTAACAGCAAATTAACTGGCTCTAAGGACAGATTCACTCAACGCTGAATATTTTCTATCCTGGTAACAAAACTGTTTCTGTTCTAATTACGAATAATTTGTTAATTTGATTACGCCGATGAAATTTTATCGCTGTCGCAACGAATATGCGGCAGCAACGATGTGCGATTCCGTTACAACTGCAAAATTATTTTTCTATTCGTACTTGAAGTGTCGACATTTCGCGACGAGATCTAACAAAATATCCGAAGAATAACGAGATCTGGAAATTTCACGGCTTCGATCGCGTAATACTCCGAATATATAAAAATCTCTCTCTCTCCGGTCGTGGCAAAAATAACTTTTCGCACGTTTTCGCCTTTGTGCGCCGAGAAGACGTCAGGATGCACAATATCCGATAATTGACGGGAGTTTTGTTTATCTTAGTCATCCGTTCGTCTCCTCGAGAGAGCGGCTCATTGACGCGCGAAATGGCTGAGATAACTGAATTCCAATAAGAAGATGCGGCGTTAATGAATCCGCACGTGATCGCCCGACGCATCGCCGATCCGAGGGTTAAGTGCCTCTCGTAGAAGCGTGTTTCGTAATGCTCGACGATGACATGATATTTCATTGTGCGCCCGGGTACCGGTTGCGTAATTATCCGCGTTCAACGTCGCTGCACCCTTACCTCGATGTTGCGCAGTAATCGTACATACGTACCACCGCGGCCATTTATAAGCCCTCGCATTGACGACCGTCGGACTTCTCGTTACCGGGACTACCGTAGGCTACAAACGACCGTTTTCCTCGGCGGGTTCCGCGCTGCGGAACACACAGCCGCGATACACGTATCGCGCAAAGTTACATACGTACATCTCCTGTTCATAGTTCAAGCGCTACGGCACACCACGCCGGCCGATTCCGCCCGATCGGAAAGCGACGCAGCCCGATTTCACGTATCGAGAAAGAAAATGAATTATGACGTACCACGAGTGTGTGTATAGTCGGGCCGCATGGAGAAAAGAGTAATTATTATTGGCTGCTGAGGCGGTTAGCACGGACCGATCGACTCATTTAACCGTCCAGCCAACGTCCGGTTGTTTCAAGTCTCTCTAATAGGTTCGGATCTCATTGTAATAAAGTACCTAACGGTCGCGCCACGGGAAACGAGAGTAAAATTTACGAGGGAGGGGAAAGCACCGGGCACGGTTAATAATTTGATTAAGGCACTAAACGTACGCTCTCGATCGCGCTGAGAGAAAGAGAGTAAGAAGAGAGCGAGAAAGGATAACCGGCACGGCGACCGTTGTTTTCGCTGTCGTTTTGCGCCGCACAATAAACAGCCTCGGCCTGTTATGCCCGCGATATATCCTCGCGCATACTTTTCCGGCGCGCGACGCGCGAGCCACGCGAAGAACGGCGGCCAACTCGAGGAGGGAACTTTCCCTCTTGATGGCATAAGAGCGCGGCCGGCGGCGGAGGAGACACGCGCTCTACGAACGAGAGCTGCTCGAGAGAGATTAGCCCGGCTCGGCGGCTCCCACGCCTCATCTCTCGCTATCGCGTCATCGCGGAGATTCAATCTCGCCGGGCCGGGGGGGAGGGAGGGGAGACGATACAAAACCAGCTCCGGCCGCTGTCGATCCGCCGCGGAGCGGGTTATTTTTGCCCGTCGCAAAAACATGCAAACTCCGCCAGGCCGCAAGGATTTATTCGCAGGCAGGGGATATCCGTCTGCTGCTTTCGCGCGTTTATATGGAAGCCGGGAGATGGGATCGCGAAACCTTGACAATGGCGTGCGCGATCGTTCCGCATCTGCGAGAGAGAGACTGCAGCGCGCGATCGTGAAAAACGGTTAATTACGCGTGCACGCACGCTTGTGGTGAGTCCGCTTCGAGAGTCACGGTGGCCTTTTCAAGGGGATGCCGATGACGAATTTGATAAGCCCTGTGGTAGAAATTTCATGCATTTTTTCAGCTTTAGTTATCGGACGGTTGTATTCACTTCTGTCTAGCAACCAAAGAATAAAACTGTCGCAATTGTTTTCCCTTAGAAATACCCTTGAACGAAACTCTATCTCGTCCGTTTCTTACGCAGACGTTCTTTGAAATTTGTCCGACTGACACATTCGGTATGTACAAACTGCAGGGTTTCTGTATCAGATAAATACTTCTTACGCCAACTGACAGCCGGAGATGTCAGTCTAGAAATTCTCAATCGTTCTCCTCGCGCATCGAGCAATACTCCAATTTATTTGAGCGCGTGCTTCCACCGTGTAAAAGCATTTATAATCCCACACGATCGATAAGATGGTAAACTTGGAAAAGAATCAACGTTCTGTCTGTAAAATTGTCAAGTCCGGTCCCCCCGCGCACGAGGTGGTATTAGCGTTTCGCCGACATCTCTTTTCATTGTGTCCCGTATACATCTGTCCTATTACGCGTTCACTTGTTTCCTCGCGCGATTCTTATTGGCCGTATGTTTCGAGGGGTACGATCCCATCTCTCCGGACTCGCCCTCGCGCGGATGCAGGTGGAGGAGAGGTAGCTTTGCTACGTTGCGTTTCGCGCGATGACTCACGTCCGCGGGAGCGGCGCATCGCCGTATTTCAGAGAGCAGGAAACCGCGAGAAAGGTCCGCGCATTATGAAATCGGAGATATTACGGGAGGAAGTTGTATTCACGGCGGTCTTATGGGCGCACGCTTCACGTAGCCGCGGCGCGTAAAATATCATCGTTATGCGCCGCACGGGGTTGATATTAGCCGCGGCGACGGCGCCGTCGTCGTCGATATTTACTGGTAAGCCCATTGTTTTACGCCGTGCTCTACGGTTGCGCCCAATCGCTACCTAACCGATCTCGGCCGTTGCGAAAGCGATCGAGTGACCGGTCGCGCCGCAATCGTTCACCTTGCCTTCGACGCGATTTTTATCGCGCTCTCTCACAACCACCGGTTCCGCGCAAGATTTTCCCACCGCCGATTATGCAAATTAATCAGTCGCAAAACGTGAGCCTATTGTGAGGGGAATTTCCGCCACCACGGCCTTCTCAACGGCCGACCCGCCGGATTTACGGCGTGTCGGCGGAGAGTTATGGCGATTTAGCCAGTATGACGGAAAACGCGATCGTCGGAGCAGCGGAGAGAGTGCGCGAGCGATTTGCAATTAGCGACCCGCGTAAACTTGATCGTTCGTATATCTACTTGTGGAAAATGACAGCTGATTTTGGCGTCAAACGTATTTTATAGTAGCAGCAGCATGCATGTAAGGTTATTATTACCAATACTATAGTAGCATTTGCTAGAAAAATGCTTGTGACTATTTTTGTGTTCAAAAGGTATGTTCGACGTCGAAACTAATTTTCTATCGACGATACAATACGATATATTGTTTCACGTGTCGAATCGATTGTCGTGTCACAGGTGATACCGGCAGATCGCCGGCCGCCGGAGAAGGAGGAGACCTGGACGTTGGCCAGCGATCAGCAAGATCCGTGCGGCTTCGACGACGAGTCCAAGGCCTCGAAAGCGGGGCCTCAGGAGCCCGAGAAGACTGCGGAGGTCATCTCCGCGGATACCGGCGATAACACGTTGCCGCGCAGCCAAGAGACCAGGAAGAGCAAGACGAAGAAGGTGAAGAGCTACCTGAGGAAGTGCAAGGGCGCTCTGTCTAAAGGCGACGAGAGCATCGCGGAGAAGCGACGTCAGGAGAACTGCACTTCGTGGTACTTGGAGGACGTAGCACCGCCGTGCGCGAGCAATCGCGAGGATCGGGACGACGAGTCCGCGGAGAGGTACACGGAGTTCTCCGAGGAGAGGCTCGAGCAGACTCGCGAACCCGTCGAAGATCCGCCGCCTGAAACGCTCGGAGCGAGTCTCTCCAAGGGCGAGAACCTCGACGGGACTGCGGACGAGGCTCTCGCCAGGCTATTGGAGGAGGATCGCAAAACCGATCTTAACAGAAGCCGGACGTCCCTGTACGAGGACGCCAAGGAGCAATGCGATGAGAAGATCAAGGAGCCGGCGGAGCGATTCCGCGACCACGCGAAGAAGAAGAACGACGCGGTCTCGCTCGAGACGTTGACGACGGAAGACACGAACTTGAACAAGTGCGACTCGAGCGACACGCTGATAGCGGAAACGACCGAAACCGCGACAGATCTCGACGCGGAATCGATCGCGATCGTCGCGGAGAAACCGTCCGTCGTTGACGGCGACGAAGGGGCAACGTTGCCGGTTCCTGCCTTTTCCGGGGTGAGTCATCTTACAAGTATCGAGATCCCTAAAGGAATTAGCTGTCCGTATAATACAATTGAAATTTAGTTAATTAGACTTCATTTTTAGCTGTGAAGGGGCTGATAAATAGGGACAAAGGAAATTAGCCAAATTAACGAAATTTCACTTCTATTACATGGACAGCTAGTTTTTGTCTGTGGGAGCTAATTCTTTTTTCTCGTATAAATTGACAAACGATAAGAGAGATCATTTTTGCAATCACCGACAGGCAATGATCGTCGCGATTTATTTCGCCGCGATAATGTGATAAGGTTTTAGCGGATTCAAAAGTGAAATATCGATCTCGCAAGTTGTCGTTGAAATCCATGAATTAAAAGGAAGGAAGGAAGGAAGGAAGGCGAAGTGACGCGGATTTAGAAACGTCACGACCGCGTCGATACCGGCCGCCGCTATTGTTTCGCCGGCATGAACTTTCATAATGGACAGACAACGAAAGTTTACGGTCGCAGATGATATTAAATCTGCTTGATGCCCGTGCTCGATAAATCGAATTCTGCCTGTTGTTCGGCGACTAAAGTCTCGCGTCGAGATTAACGGCGCCGTCGCGAAACGCGTTATACGCGTTTAAAAGGAACGAACAATGTCCATTTGAATACAAACCACAAGTACGGTAACCGCGCGCGCGGCAGTAAAGCAAATTGCAACACATATACCGGCTATAGGCAAAGGAAGGCTTCCCCGTTCGTAATTTATGCTCTTACTCTTAATGCGCTACTAGCAATGATTAAAACGTAATTTCCACGGATAGGAAGAAATACGGCGCACTCGCGTTTTTCTTCGCTGTGATTTACGGCGCTTCATTTTCCACCGTTATGATTTATACCGGCGATCGTTCCCTCGCGAACGCTCTCGCGAGGCCGTGGTGTCCGATTCAACGCGCATTTTATCGAATATCTAACAGCGTGCGTAGAATTTCTCGTGAAAGTCGCTGCGATGTGTTGCTCAGTAGATTTTTGCCGCGTTAGTTAAAAAATTAAAAAAATTATTCGTTTCATAAATAGGTAAAAAAGGAGCCAAGTGCACGCGAATAACCGTTTTTTTTTTAATATTAAAAAAAATTGTTTCTGAGAGAAGATTATTATATCAAATTAAATTTATCATATTAAACATTAATTCTAAGCTGTACACCAATTTAATCTTGCAATCTCAAGAAAACAATGATATCAAGAGGTTAACGCCAAGTGAAATAATTAACATTCCACTTAGCTCGATGCAACCGTGTATCTGATGATTGTGTTCATGGTTTTACAAAATTTAACATATTACATATGAGAGTTATACAAACATCTAATTTTGAACATTTCATTGAAACTGATACACAGCTCGTCAATTTACGGCGAAATTTTGCCTGTATTTAGCTGTATTTCTTATCTCCATTGTTCGACTATATTATTTGCATAACAGAGGAATAAAAATCGTTCACGTTTTATCGTTGGTAAAATTTTCATACGTTAAATAATCGAAATATATTCACCGAATTCCATCATGACTTCGCGACTTCACACATCCGCGACTTGTCTCGGAGAATATCGCGTGAAGAGCAGCAGCTCGCGTGCTGAATAACGAAAGAAACGCCGGCAAGTCTCGGAGTGGAGAAAGAGAGTAGCGTCATTATCGATGCATGTATACACATCGATTGTGCCACACGGTCGCGTGATATCGGCCCCGTTCAGCTCCGATCGCGGTGCGCCGCGTGGAATTTGGCGTGGGCGTGTAACGCGCAGGATTTGTCTCCTTTATCGATCGCGTCTCGCCGATGACAATTCGTGCGGGGAAACATGACTCGGCATATATATCGGATACGGAGCGTTACTTCGCCTAACGCTTATGACATCCTGATTGAAAGTTTAAGCATCTCGACTTTCTCTGCACGACCTCGTCCAGAGACATGCCCCCGCGCCACTTGACTTATTCACATTAATGCACATCGCATGGAACTAAAGTCACTTGTCTTATCCGCATTAATACCGTCCTTATAAAGCGATCGCTCATCCTTATTGACACATAACTCGCGAGAAATTAAGATCCACTGGAATCATGACAAATATTTTTTTGAAAAAAATTTTTTTTACAATTTTTGTATAATACTATTGTCTTGAGACAATTTACTACGTATTAGAGCATTAACATTAATTAATGCTTGCACGTACGGATTCTTATACCTTCCTAGGTGATCGTAGGAATAATACCAAAAAAACATTATTAAGATTAGTGTGTTAAAAGTATTTATATGCCGGTAATTAGGTACACCCGTTTCTTCCATTGCTATCTTATTTTCGATTAATATTGGGAATTACCGTGCGACGGCGAGTTATCCGCCAACGAGTCCGTATAGCCAACGATCGCGCACGATCGCATCGTAATTGCCGATTTTTGCCGGGAGGAATCGCGAGCAGGAAAACGCGGTCTCTCTCACCCAGATACCTACATAGTGCGCCTCCGCGCGGACGGAGTTCGGCTTCATGGCTCCGCGGGTTAGCCTAGGTTAGACCGGGTTCGCCGAGGTACTTGTTAGGGCGGACCCGGCGAGACGGAGGTGTGTATGGGAATTGCGGGTCGTGCTCATTAATTATATCGGACGTGATCTATCTGGACCACGGCTGGTTGCGCGGTCGCCCGAGAGTCACCACGTGCACTCCACGCGGACGGCGTGCATCGCCGGCGACCACGCCGGGTTCTCTCTCCGGAGAGAGGACTGAGCGAGGTTATTCGATCGTGTGCCTAGCTTCCTGCCGAAATCTCACGCCAATTCGCTCACTTCCCGGTCGCGAGTTCTCATTGTGCGGTCAAAAATAATCTCGAAAATGACCTCTCGAAATGTTCTCTCACAATGGGTGGTTCGAAGTGGGGCGTTTCAGTTCCAACAGATCCGACTGATTTCCTTCCCTGCAGACGCAAGCTTATAATGATCATGAATCGCTTAAAACTCAGTTGGCTCTAACTGGTCTCGCAGGGAAAAATGTTTTTTTCTCCGAAATTTTAAAACTAGCATAGCATCTTGCGCTAAACGTGGAAGAAGGGGTAAGCGAAAGAAACGCGTGAAGATCTCGTAGATCTTACATGTTGCCGTCAAGATCGATCTTCAAGTACGAAATATCCAAATTTACGTGCAACTATCTTATCACGTATACGATCTCGAAGATATTGTTCTGCTGGTATTTTCGTTCTACGTCGTGCCGTAATCATCGATTTTAGACGTAAACATACGAGATGCAAAATAACGCAACATCGTGAGACATTTCTCCGATCGATAAACACGGACATTTTTCCAAATTGAATCGCGCGGACCGATTGCCGCGGCGTTTATTTCCGATCGAGATAACGCGTCTTGATTCACGACGTGCGACGGTACGCGCGAATCCGATCGATCGACCGGCCGGCGTTCGGTTGCAATTCAGAGCAATCGGTAACCATCTACATATAGCGGAACTCGGTTTTTCTAACGGGCAGTCCGACGCACCTCGCGGAAAGACGCGGAAGTCCCATGGGTGCGTGCGAGCACGTTCCACTTGTCTCGAGACGAGCCCACGACGACGACGACGAGGAGGTCTCCAGGCGATGTGTAGCGGGGCTCCGCGAATAAACACGGTGTGGTATCCACAAGGTGGTTGCGTTTACACCGGCATTAGTTCGTTGACGTTCACAGTGCGCGAACACGGCACGCACGCGGCGCGCGCGTACGCACACACGCACATTACGTGGGGTGGCGTAAATCTGGCCGCGAGACCGGTGCCGATCGCCGCTGAAACGCTACCCGATCATCAGTCGTGAAAGTGTAGCCGCGGAAAATGATTGCCCGCGCGTCGGTTGTGCTCGCTGCACACGCCCGCTTTCCTCTCTCTTTGCGTCTTCTCTGTTCCGCTCCCCTCGCCACTCCCCCTCCCTCTGTCTCCTCGTTCTTCTCGCGAGAGAGCCTCTCTTTCGAGGCACGCACACCTGTACGGGGTGTCCCGTGCCGCGTGCACTTCGAGATCGCCGATACATTCGGAATGAGGGGACTTCTCATCGAAAGTTCGATGAGCGGCCGCGATATGTCACGAGTGCTGCATCTTTTTGCCCCCCTCCCTGGACATCTCACGGTGACTGAAATTGATCGAGTTGAACAGGTTCGCGTTATCCGTCGAACGTATCCCCGAATGCTTCGTTCGAATTTTCCGCTTATCGCGGCTCGAGAACTATTAACGCTTTCGCGGGACAACTGTCCTTTTTCGCGACGTCCGTACACGTCCGCGATTAACGCTCGCGCGACGCGGTGGTCCGGGACACCCCGTATATCTACGCTCCGTTACCTTCACGTCGGATTATAGATTAAGCCGCACCTCCAGCGTAGACGCGCGGAAAACGATAAGCGGAGAATACGGCGCGGGATTTATTGTAATTGGCGGTAATGACGGTTTTACGCCGCCGCCGCTGCCGCCGCCGCCGCCGCCAACCACTATGCTCTCTTCGGCTGTGCGCTTCGTCAGTATGCACGGTCGTAAGTCACCGGAGAAGCCGATTGCGAGCGCACGCACGCACGTGTGTACGCAACGCATCCGCGCGTGTATGCGCGGCTTTGAAACTAGGAAGAGAGAAGATGCCGTTGCTTCGCGAGGCGCACTCACCCAGATGGATAAAAGTCCGAAAACGAGATATCGCGTCTAGAAAGTAAGAATAGGACGTTGAAAATAATGTCGGCAGATGTCGCATGTAAAATGAAAGCGAAATAAATGTTAGAAACCCGTTGAAATCGTAATGCTCGTTAAAGAATCATGCTCCGTTATCGTCCGTCCCGGAAAATCCATCGTGGCGCCAGATCGATAGTTTCCGTTCGGAGAAATGGAGAATACGTTATCACTACAGAACGTCGAGATTATCATAATCGTGATCTCATGAAACCGATATCGTCCTTCTTACGAGATATTTAACTCGAAGAAAGTCGACGGTCAAGTGTACCGATCAAGTGTACGCTGTGCGAA